CAGGAAACGATTCTTTGCCCTCCTTATCCCCACACTGATTGTTCAAGGCCCAGTGGGAGATGAAGTCCTGTTGCAGGTTGTCAGCACTGCCTTGAAGCATCAGGGTTTGATTTCCCAGCCACGGGGAAGGGTTTAGAGAGAGAGGCTGCTTAACTCTCTCAGTTCCTTGGCTCTGGAAAGGGAATGCCTGAATTTCCTCTGGGGATTTGGATGTGCTTAGCTGACCCTGCTGTAGCTGCTGGTGGAGGTGAAGGAGTTGCCTTGGCTCAGCAGAGGGAAATCTCAACACCTCATGGGACATGACACCTTTTCCCTGGCAGCTGCCAGATCTGGGGGTAGACACCTCATTTTCATCCATGGGGAATTTCCTCATCTACGGTAGCTCATAAAGCAGCAGCCAGAGCACAACCTGCAGTAACCAGTCCACAGGATAAACTGGGAGCCACTGGTTTTCATTGGGAAAGCTGCATCACCTCAGCTGGGATCAAACCTCCCTAAGCCTGTTGGCAACACTCTGATTTCAGCTTCACTTCTCCCTGTTTCCAGGCAACTTGAAGGGATGCAAAAACACCCCAGTGCCAGGGAGATGGGATCACACATCGCAGAGTGAAACTGGCTTTGCTGGTGTTAAACTGGTCTCTTCATAACTCCCCATTTTTCATGGAAGGCTTGCAGGAACTGCTTCCTACAGCTCTGTTTCCATGGCAATTGGAGTTTGATCTTTAGGAAAGATGTGTTAGGCATTTGTGGAAGATTTCTGCACAGATCTGGGTTGGAGGAGCAGGTGACTGCCCCGAGCCTGAGGCCACAAGGCACATCCTCTGGGGCACTGAAGCTGCCCCAAGGGGTGTGCTGAGCCCAGGGTGCTCAGGAGGAGCTGAGCTGAGCCACAGGTCCTGCTGGGCCATCCCAGGACACACAGCCATGGCCCACGTGCTGCTGAGCTCAAGGGTGGGATGTGGGAGGGAGTCACTGGGGTGGGAATGGAGACAGGGCCATGCTGGTTGCACACCCAGAGCACCTCAGGGTGCTCATCCCAGTGCCAGGGGGGTCAGCCCAGCCTGGGGGTCCCATGGGAGCTGGGGGAGCTCTGGTGAATGTTGTTTCCATGACAATACTGAGCAAAGGAAATGTGAAAACTTGAGATGCACCTCAACATCTCAGAGTCTTCTGGGCATGTCTGTGCTGCCACAGCAACCTCCTGCTCTGGGAGCTTTCCCTGCTGAGGGAGACAAGGCATTGTGGGCTCAGCATGCCCTGCATGGATGCAATGCAGCAAACAGGGGGGAACAGCTGTGCTTCCCTCCAGATGTTGCCCCTGGTGCTGCCTGTGCCCCATGAGGACACTGTCCCTCTGAGAAAGTCCCTTCTGGGCACCTTGGGGGGGTTTGAGTGCACTGGGCAGGGGGTGGAAGAGGCACTGGGGACTCCTCCAGCCCAAGGAGTTAAGCTCCCATTTATGGATGGGGAAACTGAGGCCAAGGACAAGATTTTGGGCAGAACCCAAAGCTTCCAGCTCTGAGCTACTGCCCAGTGCAGGAGAAGACTTACTACCCCAAATAAACCTTCAGACCACCTTCTACTACAGAATATGGAGCAGCTGAGAGAATATCATCTCAGCTGGAGCCATGTGGGACCTGCTTTGGCTTTCTCCAAGCAGGAGTATCTCCCATGGAGCTGCAGGTGCTGCCAGCAGAGCTGGAAAGTAACAACTCCAGATAGAAACACTCCATGACTCTGCTGTATCTTCATTTCTCAGTAAATTAGTGCCCAGCACAGCTTCAGGTGTTAATTGGCAGAGGGAAGAGGATCTGTTTGGACAGAAGAAGGCAGAGGGAGAGGGAAACTCGGTGCCTTTGGCAGCACTTTGGATTTTAATTGCAGCCTCTTGCCTGTTCCCAGGCTGAACTTTGTCACCTGCACCTGAGCACACAATCAGCTGGAGCTTTAGTAAGGTTCCTCTGAGCAGAAAACCCTAACAAAGCCATGGAAAGCCAACCCAGGAATAGCAAGCTGAGCTTTCTGCACCATCTAATACTCTGCAGCCTGTTTGAAGCAGCTGCTGAATTAATCCCCAATTTAATTAACACTCCTCTAATCCTTCAGTGAAAAGAGCAGCTCAGGATTTGTTGGGAAACACTGTCCTGTGGGCAGTAATGGATATTACTGTGTTTCAAATGCACTCATTGAGGAGTTTTGGTTCTATTCCCAACCTGGGATGGACCAGAAATGACTGTAGAGGCTCTGAGGGGGAGGGATGAAGGTTTGTGCTGAGGCTTCCATCACCAAATCAGCTTGTCAAATGCAAGGTACAAACCAAGCCCCAAATGATTAGGATTTTCTTTTAGTGCCTCTGCCATCTGAGCCCATCCAAGGCCTTTAAGGGTTGTTTTTCACCACCTTGATGGGGATTACAAGGAATGGATGAAGGGAATAGCAGTGGCAGTGTGGGTTGGTGCTCAGCCCAGGCAGGGTTTGTCACTGAGCCTGTTTGGCTTTGCTCTGCCCAGGGCCATTCATCAGAAGCTAAATGCACTCAAAATCAAACTTTCTTATGCTTCTGAATCCTGTGAGACCTTTTCCTACACCTGCAGCAGCTATTTAACCCCCACAAATGCTCCTCAGCCCCAGGATGGAGCTTGGAAGCATTTAAGCTGCAGCTAATGAGCTCTGGTCCAGGCATATTCCATCCAGGTGGGTTGTGCCTGGGCTGTTCATCTTCCTCTCCTGGTGGCAAACAGCTCTTTGATAGCAAATGAATTTCTTAGGGGAAGTGACAGTTTTTCAAAGTCATTTTCATATTTGGAGTTTCATCTTCTCCTGTGTTTCAGGCAGGAAAAAAACCCAATGGATTTTGCCTGGCTTTTTGCTTTTTGCTTTGTTCTCCTGGTTCTGATCCATGGGAAAACAAATCACTGTGGGTTTTAAACCCAAACTGCCTCTCCTGGTGTGGAAAATCCTTTTCCCTGCCCTTTCTGTGAGCACAACTGGCTACATGCCAGGAATTTCTCCTTAACATTACAAACCTGTTCCTTTGAAGTCTCTTCTGGTACTGTAGATACCAGAAGATACTGTAGATACTGCTGTGGATACTGGAGATACATCCTACTGCATCTGTAGATATTTGTAGGATGTATCTCCTTTGCTTGAGATGGATGGCCAGGGATTTACCCAGGGATGGGCCTGGAAGCAGCACTTGGGCCTGGGAGATGTGGAGTTATCTCAGAGCTGAGCAGAGCCAGGGCAGGTGCAGAAATGGGCTGGAAACAATTTGGGCTGGCAAATGTTTCACCAAAACAATTCCTGTTGCCCAACAAATTAGGCTAAATTGAAGCTTCCTCGTCCGCCTTGTCAGGTAATTACTGAGGGAAGCAGATGGAATCTCCTCGGAGGAGTTGGATCAACACCAGGCGAAGCGATGGAGCTGGGTGGGACCGATGGGAGTGGGTGTCCTGGGGGAATGACAGGGCTGGGATTGAAACTGGAGGACTTGGTGGGTGCTGGGAGAGGCTTTGAGCCTGTGGGCAGTGGGTGCTGAGTGGCCTCAGAGCCCAAGGTGCTGTGATGCTGTGAGCAGGGTGAGGGTGGATGGGGTGGGGAAAGCTGGAGGAAGCCTCAGGATTGGGATGTTTTGGAGGGTCCTTCCAACCTAAACCATCCTGTGATTCCATGATCCTATGAAGAGCCTCTTGGGTGAATGCAGCAGATCCTTTGCTGCCTGATTGAGTCAGCAGAGTTAGATCCTCTCAAGTTCCTGAGATCTGCAAACCTCACCTCATCCAAGATCACCTTATTCCACCCTTGTCCTCTGCCCAGACAGTCCCATGGCCTGGTGTCTTCTGCTCCTGGCTCTGTGCAGCCCCTGGTGTAGCAGCTCTGGCTGTGATGCCTTGGTGCTGGTTTCTCCCAGAGCTTTGGGTGGGATACAGAGCTGTTAGAAACAGAAATGCATATTAGCATAGTAGAAAAATACTAAGGAATAGTAAGACACTGAAGGATGATTCATCTTGAAGCAGAAGCTCTCGAGCTGTGGAGGTGGCACTGCTGGCCACCAGCATGGATTCAGCTAGTGGGGAACTGAGTTTGGAGGGTAAATTATGCCTTGCTAACAACTTCCTTGGCAAATCAGCCCCTCCCACCCCTGAGTCCCATATGCTCCCTGCAGTTTGCTGGGCTGGGAGAGCATAGCAGCAGTGCTAAAGAGGGAAAGGTTACATGTCCCAGCTGCCTGGAGCTGCCTGGGTGGTAAGAGCAGCCCAAAGTGCTCATATATCACACTTGGGACTCATTTGCATCCTGTTAATTCTGCTTCAGAAAGTCTCTTTGGGACTGGTTTTAGCTCTGGTGGAAGAAGAAGATTGACCTTGAGTTACTTTGTGGAAATCTCTCATTGCCCCAGAACTCAGGAGCTGCAAATGCTTTTATTCAGCTTGGAGCAACTTCAGCAGTGAAACCCATGAGCTCCTTTGAGTTTAGCACATGTGTGATGTTATTTAATGACCTACATCATCTCCCAAATGGCCTCAGGCTGTGCCAGGGATGGGGAAGTGGAGGTGAGGTGCTCCCTCACTCTCAGCTTTGGAGACCTTACAGAACATCTCTGTGTGGGGGAAGGAGGAGTTTGGTTGAGAGGTATGGGAATGTCTTCTGTAACCACACACCTGCAAGAAAGTAGTGTCACCACCTGTTCCCTCTTGGGAAGCCCAAACCAAGCTGGAGAAACCATCAGAGGCTGTGATCCATGGAGGATCCTTTGGGACAGGCAGTGGGTAAGGACCAGGAGCCTGGAGATGCTCATGGGGCTGATGGGCAGCAGTGATGCTTTGGGCTGAGTCCTGCTGTGCCCTGGGTGTCCTTCCTCAATTCCCAGAAGTCTGATGATGCAAGTGGAGCATTCCCAACTGCTTCTCTCCTCCATAGCCCACTGGGGGCTCCAGTGCTCCCAACTGCTCATCATCCATCAACAGATTCCCTGTTAACCTCCCTCTTTCTTCTTCCAGAGGAGACAACGTTCGAGGCTGGAGTCAAAGTGCAGATCCACAGCCAGTCTGAGCCACCTTTTGTCCAGGAGCTTGGCTTTGGGGTGGCCCCTGGATTCCAGACTTTTGTGGCCACCCAGGAGCAAAGGGTAAGTCCTAAACTTAATTTCCACACCAAAATCCCTTCAGTGGGTCCATATTAGAGGTTAATTCCATGTACTGAAGCCTCTTGAGGTACTTCTTCATACTTAAGAGCTGTTTTTCTGCCTTGCCTGCTCAGAGCAGCCTCTTGCTTAGGAACACTTCTCCCAGCAAGGGAAAATAGGGGTGGAATTGGGCAGATTTGGCTTGGTGTGATGGGAGGAGCTGTGTGAGACAGACTTTGGGCTGCAGAGAGTTATTCCTGCCTGGGGTAGAGATTTTTGGCTTTATTTCTGGCTCTGCAACTATTCCCTGTGGCCATGCTCAGATCTAGCCCTTCTTTCCCCAGTCCAGGCTGGAAATAAGAGCATTTTCTGGGCTTTCCTTGCTGACCTCCTGCCTGTCCAGGTGTGCAGCTGCTTAGCACAGCCAAGGACTTGGTGCTGAGCTGATAAATCCTGGATCTTTACACCAAGAGCCTTCCAAAAGTCTTTTGTCAGAGCAATGGATGGTGTGTGAGCTCATTAAACTCCCTGTAAAATTAGCTGTCAGGCCAAAAGAAAAGGGAACCAGATCAGCTTTTCTGCTCCTCCTGCAGAGGCTGAAGCCTCTGGTTCCTGCAGAGAGACACTTTGAAGCTCCATTTACCAGTTTGGGAGCTGCATCGTTAAGGGAGGAATGATGTGGTGGTGACCTGGGAGGGACTTCACACGGGTGAGGGTTAGGAGAGCTGAGTCAGCAAAGCAATCCTGAAAAGGCAATGCCAGCTGGAGCTTTTCCCATCAAATGTGCTGGTTGGGCTATGTAGGCCAAGCTGTTCCTCTGCTGTGGCCTCATGGCCAAAGGGAGATGCTTTGTGGCTAGAGAACTGGGGTGGTCCAGCTTGGAGAGAAGGTTTTGGGGGAACCTTATTGTGGACTTTCTGTGGGCCAAAGGGAGATGCTTTGTGGCTAGAGAACTGGGGTGGTCCAGCTTGGAGGTTTTGTTTTGGGGGAACCTTATTGTGGACTTTCTGTGCCTGAAGGAGCTACAGGAAACATGGAGAGAGATTATTGACAAGGGATGAAGGGACAGGACACAGGGAATGGCTTCCCACTGCCAGAGGGCAGAGATAGGTGGAATATTGGAAGAAATTCCTCCCTGTGAGGTGCTGAGGCACTGGCACAGGTTGCCCAGAGCAGCTGTGGCTGCTCCATCCCTGGGAGTGTTCCAGCCCAGGTTGGATGGGGCTTGGAGCATCCTGGGCTGGTGGGAGGTGTCCCTGCCATGGCAGGGATGGAATGAGATGCTATTTAAGGCCCTGCCAACCCAAACCATCCTGTGTTTCTATGAAATCTCAGACTGAGGTGACCCCCTGAAGTTTAGGGGGAGTTAGGACTGAGCTCCCTAAAGCTACTCAGGAGGCAACACGTGATGGATGATCACAGTCACAACCAGAATGTCTTGATGGAGAGTGGAAAGCTCCTCCCAGGGTTCCATCCCATACACAGAGGCAGTGGCTGTGTCCGAGAGCAGCATGGAAGGAGCTGGAGTGGTTTCCATGGCCATGGGAGATCAGAGCTGCTGCTCTGGGTCTGACACCACTGCCAGGGCTGAGCCTGCTCTGCTCCCAGTTGTTCCTCCCAGCCAGGGCTGCTCCAGCCCCGCAGGGCAGAGATTGCCATGGCAATCCCTCAGCTGAATGAATAACCTTTGTTCCCTCATGAATGGAGCTGTGCAGGAGCTGGCACAGGGCACACTGTGCTCTCACCCTCCAGGCAGGTCCCAGGGGAGGCAGGACCCCCCTGGAGCAGGGCAATGCCCTTCACATCCCACTGCTCCTGATTTTGGAGGGATCCACATCCATTTTTCCCCTTGTCCTGGCTCTTTTAGGGGAGCCTGGTGCTGTCAGAACCCTCTCCAGGCCTTGTGTTGTGTGGGGGCTGTAATATCCACCCATTCCCCTGCACCAGAACATGGCACCAAGGCATGGATGGACAGACTGGCAGGGATGGACACACTGACAGGGATGGACACCAAGGAAAATGTGGCATGGATGGACACCAAGACATAGATGGACACACTGACATGGAAGGACACCAAGGCATGGATGGATACACTGGAAATTATCCTCTTAAAGGTTAATTCTATGAAGAAGAGAAATTCCTTTTGGCTTTAGTTCCCCTTTCCCTGGCTGTTTCTCACAGAACCATCACTGCCTCTCAGCAGCATCACCCAAACCTCTCCCCCAAGGCATGGGATGGGTCAGTGGCTCTTCCCACCACTGCTCCCTGCCCTGCCCTGAGCACTGCATGTTAGGCAAGATGAAAAGCACATTGGAAATGGCAATTTCTGCCAAGTTGGCAATCAAAATTTAAGAGGCTTCAATTAAGCAACAGGTTCAAAGCTGGAGCAATCTTGTTTAATGGAGCTCTAGTGTGCCCTGGAGACTCATCCCTTGCACTGCTTGCATGGGACAGAGAGCAGCAGCTCCCAAGCAGCTGCAGCAGCCAAAGTGTCATTACAGAGGCAGGAAAATGGGACTGGGGGCTCAGAAAGCCCCAGTGCCACTCAGGGTGTGAGTAATGGAAAAGCCCCAGTGCCACTCAGGGTGTGAGCAGTGGGCTTGGAAAATTAGGAGCAATTAAACAATATTTCCTGTGGATTATGGGGAGAAATTGAAAGGGGAAATTTAGGTTAGGTATTAGGAAGAGGTTTGTTCCTGTGAGGGTGATGA